CCTTGGCTACAAGTTATACACACTGCTTCACACCTTTAGACAGATGGCGTGATAATGGAATCTTTTTACATTTATTGTTATGAACACTAAACGTGCATTCTCTGTCATGCCTAGTTCGATGGTACCACCTTCAGGGTAGGTATATAACAAAAAGAAGTCTTTTTTTTTTGCTGCCAATATTTTTACTGTCCCTTTCTCCTTGATTCTCTGTCATGCCAAGTTCGACGGTACCACCTTCAGGATAGGTATATAACAAAAAGAAGTCTGTTTTTTTCTGCCATTATTTTTACTGTCCCTCTCTAATTGTTTATAGACTATCCAAAATTTTTAGAAGTTTTACCTTCAGAAGAAAAATTCTGATAAAAATTATAATGGGCATTTAATATATTACTGGCTCTTGCAACTTTCTTAAAATTATAATATTATATAAACAAGCACGTACTAACAGATACTATTTGCGAACTGCTCACTTAGTGATCAAATAAGTATTAAAAAAGATAGCTGTTCAGTGAATATTAATTAAATCCATAGATTATATATCTAGAAATTCATTAAGTTAATAGTTTGCTATATCGTTAGATAGGTTAAATAGTTATTATTTTATTTATATAAGCAGGGTCTTTCTATTTGAAAGACCCTGATATAAGTAATAAAATAAAAACTTTTTATAACACATTATATTAAATGTCTGCACGGATTAACTTATATTTTCACAAATTAAATCATTATAAATTGTATTTCAATATTTTGTTATCAGTTGAACATAAATGTGTATTCTTGTATATTCTAACCTGTATCTAAAGTCATTTAAAACAATAGAAAGTGTTTTATTTTTGATCCTCGGATACTCTTATAAAATATCTCTGAAAAAGATAGTATGAAATCAATGGTGATAGAGTTCACAGTGATTTAGTATTAACAATTGAACTTCTGATACCGGTATTTTGTTCTAGAAAGATTTATAAAAATACGTATCTCTCACTTATAAACAATATTCATATTCTTTTGTGGTTTGTCGGTATGATACATGTCCTAAAAGATATCAACATAATTATTCATGATATATGAGACCCTCTATTATAGACAAATTTTCACTTAAAACAGTTTTAACTATTCGAATGTACCTTTAAAATGTGCGCAGCCTTACATTGTATAGGAGGGCATCTAAGGATATGTTATAAACCTCTAAGAGAAGGTCCTTAGAGTATTCCGTAATTAGTGTTTTTTACATTTTTTGTTTGTTTATTTTTATTTTTGTTGTTGTTCACGTTGTTGTTTAGTTTTGTCATAGAGTATACTGTCACATTCTCTTACATTTTTACACACCTCTTAGAAAATAAAATCATACATTGCGTTGAGGTCGGAAAAAAATACATTATTAGAAATTTGGTTGTAAAAATTTTATGTATGTAGGCTATGCTTAATGAATGTCCATCTGCCCGCAATGACACAAAAAATCAGATTTCGCTGTAGAAATCGAATCCCGGACATGCCACCAGTCATGCTCTTTTAAAAGAAGAATTTTGAAGCACAAAATAGGGGTTAATTTACCTCCAAGCAATTTCCAGGGAGAATTAGCCAAAGATATGAATTTTGAGCCACAAATAGGTCACTGTACGGCGGTCAATGAGAACCTTAATGTACAATAACCTGAGACAATATGAGAAAAGGAGGTGTCCCTTAAAAGGAAGGTTGGTGACATGCAAAGGGCATGCCTTTCAAGCCGTCATTCGTACTAGGGGCTTACCCACCCCAGTACACCATCCTCGTCGACTCTGCTTACTTTGTAGGGTCAATTCCCTCGGTAAAAGTGAGGACACCGGCTGCTTTTATTTTCATTTATAACAAGCTTTTTATTTTGGTTTCCTGTTGCAGTGTCCAAAAAGTTACTATTTGGCTAATAATGAACTATCTTTTGCGTCGTATGTTGCTTTTCGGCATTAAGTACAGTTATAGTGATTTAGTAAATTGTGTGGAAGTCAAAATACTTTTTTGTTTACATTTTGCTTTAATTTCATATTTGGTTTCTTTCATAGTTACTTTCAACTGGTGATATGCATTTAAAATATGCTCTAAAATAAGTATTTAAACGTTATTTATGTCAATTATAAAACAATCGTTTCTGAGGCATAATGTGCCTTTTAAATGATTATTTAATATTTTTGTTAAAAATTTTACACTGTTTTTATTTTTATTTAATCTAAATTAACAACAGTTAACATACGCAGTTTCAATATATTCCTCCGCACGTGTTTATATTGTTAATGTGGGACATATGAAGTACGAAATTTGATATAAGACTGCGATTTATCACTTTCCATAAATATAGATAAATCTTTTAGGAAATACTTTTATTATAGTACTATATTACAATATATATATGAAACGTAAAGTGGAATTACCCATACCTTGCAAATATGTAATGCAAATAATTTCCGGAGAAAATATGTCAATGAATAAATCAGTCACATCGATTCCGCTCTGTACAATTAACGGCAATAAAATACAAACATGACACCGTACAACCCACTGCAAAACGCCACATTTTAACAATATGTGAGTTTGTGCAAAATAATTCAAGTCATTTTGTTTTTGTTTTTTAGCATATTTTAAGATTTAATTGCAAGGAAGATGTAAAATTATACAACAATTATTCAATAAAGGGGGCAGAAATATACCTGGTATTAGCAAAGTCTTGAAATCCAAGAAGAATCAATCAAAAAACAACCAGTAATACATTTCTTTTTAGAGCCGCTTTTTTTATGATTCTGCTTTTTTATAACATTCCCAAAATCTGCTAATTTATTGCACGGTACTGTGAATAAAATCTCGTTAAGCTGCACAATGGTTGAAAATTCCGACAAACTTGGGTAAAAATGAAAATTAAATGAATGAATGAATGAATGAATGAATGAATAAATAAACAAACGAACGAACGAACGAACGAACGAACGAACAAACAAACAAACAAACAAACAAACCAATAGAAAAATTAAATAATCAATCAGCAGCGGTGTGTTTCTGCGTTTGAAGAAAAAAATGATACAATGTATCTTTGTTTAATATTGTGCTTACAATGTATTAAAAAAACATTACCTGTTTTTATTTACTCTTATAACATTACACCTGTTGTTGATAAGTTTATTATAATAGTAATAATGATAATAATAATCAAATTTGCTACCGGAGATGAAACGAGAATCATTTATGTAATAAACTAAAAAATTGACAATAAATTACCATAATATCATCCGTTTTCTAATCACTATTTATCTTTAAAGATATAAAACTTTTTTTCCTGACATGAATTATCTGATTTTGATTGATACATAAATACATAAATGAGTTCCTATTTCTTAAAAGAAAGCCCATAAAGTGTTTGATGAATTAGAAGTATTTTTTTATTTGATAAAATTAACATGAAACGTGCGTTTGCCACATTTAGCTAAAATCTACGAACGGAAGAAAACATGCGTTAAAACCCGGCCGTTATTAAACCCACATTAAACTTATATCCACAAACGGAAGAAAACACGCGTTTTTAAACACGACCGTTATTAAAACATTATTTAACTTAAATCCACAAACGGAAGAAATTTTGGACACCTTTTTAAACCACATATAATTACATTAAACCATATTAAACATAAATCCACGAACCGAAAAAACGCGTTTATTCACGGCTTTTGTTTATAGAAAGATTCAGATGAAGAATACGCACATTTAATCATTTAGATATGACATATGATAAAGCATAAAATAATCACCAGGGGATTCACGTGCAACAATTTCTAGGTGAGACCCTGCTGTTTTGATACATTGTTTTCCTTGTGCTATGATAACGTATAATCAACAGTACTATATTAACATAATTGTATGCATGTCGGACAAAAAAATACATACAAAAATGCAGTGCTCCGCTATTACCGTAAAAGGATACCCCCCCCCCCACACACACACACCGACCCATTGCTCCTTCAATCCAAAAGATTTAAAAAAAAACATACATAGATCAAAAATAGAACTTGAAACGGAAATATATAAAAATAAAAATGAAGAAATATACTTAGAAAATCGATATGTATTTTGGTTCTTAGTCAAATTAAAGTTAAAATCGTTTAAAAGCTTTTCGTTCAAAGGTGATTTTGTAAAAATAAAAATGATTATTCCGGAAAAACGGAACGAGTGAATGACCTGCAATTTTGCACATAAGATCTTGACATAGACCTTCATCGAATCGTATAACAAAAAAACTCGAAAACATATTTCAAGTCTCGTTATGTCATAAACCCTATGTTGACTATCTGTCGTTGTTGGTAATATAAAAATAAATAGTTATATCAATTTAAAAACTGAAATATTTTTGGCAGCATGATAAGAAAGAATCTATTCTTTTTATGTAAAATAAGCATATCTACACAATACAGCTGTGACAAGCCAACATAGGAAAGCATTCATATCAATACCAGAGTAAGCATATAACAAAATAATCCGAGTTGGTTTTATTCATTTTATAAAAAAAAAATAATGTATATACTAAAATGAAACAAACAAAAGGGCTCTAAGATATCTTATGAAGCGCTTACAAATTGTATACTCTAAGACGCCGCATTAAATGTCATTTGAGGTGACATATATGTATGCATATGTAGCTGTCTCGTTTGATTCGCTAATACAATACATGTTTGCGTCCTCTACTGCTGATGTACACGGCCGATAAAATATAATAATAGCGTTAATCTTCATACTATACATTCTTATCTTGTATATTTTTCGTCTGCTGCAAAAGATTCTTATCTTTTACAGCGTCCGTCTGTAATTAACAGAAAATTAACCCATGTACACTACTGAGTAACAGAACTGCTCTGTCGCGCTAATTTTTGCAGCTTTTCTTCTTTGATTAGCAACATCTGTTGATAGTTATGGCCTTTCTGATAACTTTCTATTACTTATTGTTTCAACTAACAAGGTAATATGCATTTTATCAACTGTCGACGTCATCACTTTCTGCGTAGATGAACGCTCTTTTTAGAGCGTGCCACCAGGATATCTGCCACTCTGATCTTAGTAAGAGCAGACGACAGTTGCAAGTCACAGTCAAGAGTGTTCGTTTGGATTCTAGGAATAATATATCCGGGGACTTTGATTTTTTCTGTGTTGTCTGCAACAGTTCTAAAGGTAAGATATTTTATTACGGATGATATTGTAGACAAATAAATCAATTATATTTATATATATAACCTTTTATTTTCAGTATATATTATATAGTTCTTAACGTTTCTTGATAGATTTTGCTTTACTGTATTGGCGTTTATATTCGCTATATTGTAACAGAAAATTACATCCACGGTTCTACTGAAGCTGTTCGTTCACATACCATTTAATAGTAGTATATTAAATTACTTCATAAAAGGCATTTACATACATTTTCATTTAATAAAACTTAACTAATTTGATTTCTGATATACGATATTAAATATATTTCACTAGTTAAGATATTGTTATTAAAAGTTGATATGAATTTAAAGAAATGATATGCATATTTTTATTCATTTAAAACATTTATGAATATATTGAATCTGTACATGTTAACTGACTTTAATTGAGATTAAAGAAGAAAGAACACCCCTAGAATAATAATAATAATTCATACGAGACGAGAGTATTTGGTTAAATAGTTTTTAGTAATTTATTTATTTCATTACATATTGTTCCATCAATTATGCCAGTGTTTTAGTATTTTGTATAATGAATTTCTAAGTATATAGTACTTATATTTTCTGATATTAGATGTTGCATGATCATTGCGCATGAAAGTCTCCTTCTCTTTCAGATTTAGTATGATAATGTAGAGTAATTTTAAGCAACGACGAGTACCTATAAGTTCGCTACATTTTGAATTTACTTATTTAACTGATACCAAAACGATTTATTCTTGAAAATTTCCCAAAATACAATTTATTTATTGTTAATATTTGGACAAAAAGAGCAATGCAATGATTTTTTGCAAACATTTTATATTCTTTAAATAAAACTGAAAAGAAAATCAGTTAAAATATCAGTTGCTACAATATAAAGATGATAAAAGGGAAAATAAGGAAATGTATTATAAAAGATGGAATAAAAATATGTTATAAAGCTAGCGTACAATGAAGACGTTATTTCACTGAAAGGTGTGCTAAGAGCAGTAAAAATGATTGTTTGATACAGTTGTTTCTCATTGCTTATTTATGATTTTATTTGCCCCTACTATTGAACGTCAAGTGGTAGCAATGCACTAGAAATAAGTCTAAGAGAAAATTAAACTCTAAGATACGGTGAAAACAATTAGTGTAGAAGACACAATGTTTTTAAGTTTCTTGGAAAAAGATAATTTCGTTTATGGTAGTTAATTTTGTGTTCATTTCATTAATGAGATTGAAAGAAGCGTTACGAAAATAAAAGACGTCGAAAAGAACAAAATATATTCGGCCCAAAAATTGAAACTAACAAACCTTTTTTTTGCAACGACTGTTCTAATAATTTTAATACACATTTGTATTTGCTTTCGATTTTTCATAATATATATAATTGTAATCGTTACTTTTACACAAAACGCTTTTCATACATTCATACGTATTAAGCTTGACCCACTGTAAAGAAGCGTTCTAGTTTCAACCAGTAAAGAGTTAGTTTGTTTTATACAATTTAAACAGGCGCCCTGATTTTGAACCTTTGGTTATTTTTCTAGGCAATTTTGCCTTATAATTGACATCAAACGACGCAAATTGCTGGGAGCTACAAGTCATCTTCTATTTGATAGTAATCGATCGAAAATGTATGCCCTTTTAAATGAGTACCCTTCATTACTAACATCATCTATATTATATTGTTATTATCCTAATATTAACTGTAGAAGGTTGAGTAATGGCACAATTACTGTATACTAGATTATAGCCGTGCGGCGTATCTTACAATGTTTACCATACATTTCCATTATAAGGAAAGTATTCCCCAGATAATTGCATATACCCTGGGTAATTACCAAAAATGACTGCATTAGTGCCCCGTGTACCAATTATAAGTCTAGGAAATCATGTACGTGATTTGTAATAATGTCTCATTAAAGGAATTCTTTATTTCATTCTCAATGCTACAGTGCTAGAACAATAATATTAAAAACAAGCGGCTTTATCCTAATTAGGGGCATTTTCTAGCGCATAGTGTCTCTTAAGTCTGAAATGCTGATTTGACAAGATTCGAATCGCCCATCTTCCCGCATTTGTTATTTCTATCGACTACAAAAAAGTAACTTTTTTAATACTAAATAAACGACATGTTTTTCTTAAAGATAAGAACAGTTCGTATAAAATGATTTATATAGGATTAGCCAGCACCGGGATATGTCGAATAATTATATGTTTATTGTATATTTATTGTTATTAAACTATGAACAGTTCTCCTTTAGATTGGAAAACAGACAAAAATTATAAAGAAAACATCCTTTCAGCTTATTATTAAGCTCGTGAAAAAGGTAACAAAATGAAGGAAAAAATACATTGCCAGAATTTTAGTACATGTATATAATTAACTTGCTTCGTAAGATACTCAGTATAGATAATTAGCGGCACGTGCGCTCGTGAAGCACGTGCTGGTATTAGCGCCATATATTTTCGCCTTTTTGATGTATACGAACAATAAGTGTAACGAATAGGTAATAATGTACTATTAATGAAATTATTCGTCCATCACAGACACTGGGATATATTGCCTGTTTGATGACTTTGATGTGCTACTGGCATGTAAGGTAAATAATGATCTATCTTATAAAAGCGAATGGGGGTAATATTTATTTATAGAATGTATGTCTTAAGACCAAAGATTCTACAAATAAAAGATTTTTCAATTTCACAGGTCATCTAAGAAATATTAGTTTCTTGTATCTCATCGATTAAAACGGAGTTGACAATTTCCCATTAAAATAAAAGAAGCAAAGCATATAGCATGTTTAATTATGCTACATGCTAATTTGAATTGTCTTCAACTACACATAAAATATTAACTAACAAATAATTGATAATAATTATATTTCTTAGTAATGTTCTATTGATAGCGCATATTATTTCTTTTTTTTCATTCCTCATTTTGCCAAGTTAATTTCATAACACATAAGTTACGTATTTCTCTCCGGCAGCCTGCTCTAATTACACTGTTATAAATATTTGGTGTAGATATTAATTTTCAAAACAAATATATCAGTTAAAAAACTATTATTTCAAAATGTCATATCCTATTAACGGAGAAAATAGAATTCCCGGGAAATTTATTCTTAACATTTTTTTTGCAAAAGAAAAAGGTTTGCCTAGAAAATGAAACCGCAAACGCATTGTATTCAATAGAAAGCGAACTTTAACATTTAAACATATACATTTCAAGATAATTATTCCCTAGTCTTATGTTACATTAGAAGAAGAAAAAATGACAGCAGACTCCGTACTTTATTGTCACAAATGTATGTCAACGTATGGTTATCTTAATGCAGTAACGGGTTATCTTCTTATATAATTTGATATGAGTTAACCTGTTACTGCACTAAGGTGACAATTTATGCATACGCTACCACGACGTCTGTTTGGCCATATAAATAAGATTGAATAATTTATACTGTTATACTCAAGAAGTTCAACGTGTAAATCAGGTGTAAGAAAGCAAAGATTGCGTCTCCTGCTTTTACAGAGATGCAATTTTATTCATTTTATGACATTTTTTTTCCAAGCTGTTATAGCGTGATTTCATATGATTTATAAACATTTAGACATGATTTATGGCTGAGTGTTAATCGTTATATGGCTAATAATCGTATATTTACGGGCATACAATCTGAAGAAGAATGTTTGACATTCTTAGATTTAAATTTAAAATCATACCCAATTTTTCAGCGGACGTGAGTTTATATAGATTATAAACGTCACTGTTCTCAAAATTGAAGCCGTTATCTTGTAGTGACGTTATTTTGTGCATGCTCTTGTTAAATATATTCGTTTATAAATAAATCAAATGAATTAAAACGGATTCTTATTTTAAACATGACAGCAATGTTCAACGTTTTCTTTTAAATACATTTATTTTTTTGCAACTGAAAACCTATTTAACCTTTAGCACTCTAAATCTTAAAAATCAAACCATAGTATTATCGTTGAATCGATTACAGGTAATGAAATTGACCAAACTTAACACGTGCGTTGAACGTCGCTAAATAGATTTCTCACATTTTGTAAGTAAAAAAAGCACTCTGTGCAGTACTGTTGATAAAAAATCCATAGTTATGTCTTTAAAATGCCTAAGTTCCAAACGATCGAGACGAAAAATGTCTAAATGTCAAAATATCAAGCTTGCCTTCAATTAACACGAAATGTCGAGTTAATAAAAATTGTAGTGAATTGAAAGTAAAAATCGCAACTTACGAGTGGGATTGTTGAGTATTGGAAACATTCAACACCGCTCACTTCAATAAAACTAAATGTTAACGTTGAATTTTAAGGAAGAAACAGATTCTGCTTGCGTTATGTAATTAAGAATAAATTCCTTGTAAATGTCCCAATTGAATTGAGATTTTAAAATCAATTTTAGAATCATGCATTTGACATTATCAGTATGAATGATCGTAAATAAGAAACTGTCTAACTCTTCTTTATCAATGAAACATTTTAGAATAGTTTGTTGTTTATATTCTGAAATTCAAAAATTGTCCGTAAAATAGTGTGTGCTAAAACTATTTCCATATCATTATAATCATAAAAATAAGAGTTTTTATTGGTTGATATTTTTTAAATAAAAAAAACTACCCCACGATAAGCTATTGACAATATATGATTTTTATACGTCTTCAAGTTTTATATTTAAACAGTTTATATGATTCTTTGTTGCGATGAATATATCGTTTAAATTATATAAAAAAATAAAGAGTTTTCTTCGCACAGTGCACTTGAGTAATACCCTGATGTAAAAAATTGGTTTGTTTGTTTCTTTAGAAATGCTAATAATGAAGCAATCAGAAGATATTTATTTATAATGATACATGTATGTACCTGTACATATATTATATTAGATTAGTCTTACCATTTTGTTGAATACGTCATGGTTCATTTTTATAAGTGTCGTTGTTGTTGTTGATGTTGCTATACATGAAAATGGTATTT